TCCCTAAGCCTCTGGTCAGCCTCATCTGGAAAATGAGGATAATGACTCACCACACAAAGTTACTATGGGGCCTCACTGAGACCAGGTCATCGTGTTAATGATGCAGCTGGTTCCTCTTGTGTAAAATGAGGGGACTGTGAAATGGGTCTTTAAGTTCCCATCCCTTATGAATATGCAGTGTTTAATGAAATTGTATTGATCTTGGAGAAGATCTAACTCAAAAAGATGTTTCTGAGCCATGAACGTTTTCTAGAATTATTTATCAGACCAGCGTGATAGAGACGGAGAAGAGCTGTGCAGTGGGGGCAGATGGCTGTTTCTCAGGCCCAAAGACCTAGGCCTTCCCAGCTCGTTCTGCCTCTCAGTTCTAAGACCCAGGAAGTTGGCTTTGTCATCATCTCAGCCTCAGTTTACCTGTTCCTAAGATGAGGCTGAAATACCTCCCTCACAAAAGATAAGATATGAGATAATGTGTGTGAATCTCTTTAAGCACAATGGAGTAACATCCGTATCTGGAAAATGGGCTTAGTAAGACCTCCCTTGGAGGGCTATCAGAAAAACAAATGAGACCATGTGTATAAATAGATTAACACAATTCCTGGAGTATCTAGAAGCTTCAGAGAATGACAAAGCACTAATTAATAGTCAAGCCTAACACAGTGAAGTAGAATGTTAAGAATTGGAACTCAGAGCCCTGTAAGCTGCTCCCAGAGGTAGGCAGGGGCCTGGCACTGAAGCACAACCCTTCTTGCATGATGCTGAATGTAAGTGCTTGCTTCTACCAGCTCCACGGCAAGGTGGCACCTGTCCAAGGTACAGAGTTAATGAAGGCTCTGGCTGCAGATAAATGAGCCTCACATTGGCCCATTAATCACTTTCCACTTTGAAAATGGCCACCTTCAATCCTTCTCCGCAGAGTTGATGATCACATACAGAGGCTGCCTGTATGGATAGACACCCTGATGGAGAGGGACTGAAAGAGGTCCTGCTGGTCTACCCCAGAGCCCATATAGTCTGTTCCACACAAATCCAACGGCAAGTTTCCTGAGTTTAGTTCCATTCAAAGAGCATCTTTATCGTGCTCCTGCAACATGCCAGGCACTATGCTGGGAACCGAGGAGTCAGAGATGAAGATGGCGTGGTCCCTGCCCCTGAGCTCAGGGACCTGTAGGACAGAGACACAAGGAGGAAGCACTTCCTATGGCACATAGCAAGTGCCGTGATGGAGGAACTCATAGAACGCTATGGGAGCACAGAGGAGGCGTGGGGTAGTGTCAGGAAGCCACCTTGGAGGGAGGGATGCCTGAGTGTAAATGTGAAGGATGAATGAACATAGCCTGGTAAAGTCAGAGCAAAGGAAAAGGAAGGTAGAAAGGTGACCTGGGCAGATGGACCACCTTAAACGCAGGCATGGAAGCAATTCGGAGCAGGTTGGGGCTCCCAGGGAACTGCAGCAGAGAGGCAGCAGTACCGGATGTCACCTCGAGGCAGGCAGGTGGCCACAGATAATCTAGAGCGCAGAGAACCCACCTGACACCTCCCCAACATGCGTCTCAGCAAGTCTCCTGGCCTGGTCACAGCATGCGCCACCTACATAGTCGCTGACTGATGATTAAGGGGGTGGGGGTGGGGGTGGGGAGGGGAGGCATGGGCAAGGCTCCTACCCCCTTCTCCCCCACCAGCTTTCTTACATGCGAAATCACTTCCTAGATGGCTGACACAGCCTTTCCAGGAGGCCCAGCTCCTAGAAATGTCACACGTTGGCCAGGTCTAAAGAGTGCTTGCCAGGTCAGCTGCAAAGACTTCCTGACACATTAGACCCAGGATTCAAGTTGAGCAAGGGAGGTTGGCTGCAACAGAATTTAGCAGGTTCCAGGACATTGTGAGAAGGCAAAAAACAACAGAAGCAGTCCACACGTGTCCTGAGCTTTTCTCTCCAGCAAGGGGACCCATCCATTGCAGGCTCAGGATAAAGAGGGGGCATGCATCTTGCCGAAGCTGCAAAGCCTTCCCAGGACTGATAGTTCACTTTTCTCCTCCTCTTTGGCTTGCCCCGTGAAGGCCTGAACCAACCCAAAGCGCTCCTGTGAGCACCACAGGGAATTGTTCTAAGTTGCTGTGAGTTAGCCCCTGAAGCGGGCTGAACCCTCAGATGTGCTTGAACATCAGACCAAGCCAACAGGAATTCTGCAATAAATACAAGCCTAGAAAGCAGGTGGCGGCCGACATGGAGGGATGATTCAGGAAGGCGGTGGCTAAGCAGATGGCGCTGGAAACAGCTGGCTGGCTACACACGGCAAAAAAGAAAAAAGTTGCAGTTTGTTGGGAGGTTGCTTTTTGTTTTGGGGTTTTTTGTTTTGTTTTGGTCAATTCTAAAGAACAACCATTGGCAATGTTCCCTGCTCTATACAACCAACAGATTCCTCAGGCAACTCGCGCGAGGGAGAATACAGCCTGGAGTCTGAGGTGGTCCTTAAATGTTTCCTCAAGCTTGGGTCCTCATCTGTGTTGTTAATAGCCAAGTGATTCGTTTTGTGGGGTAGCTTCCCCAGGCTCCCCTGGGCTGGAGTATTTATCATGGCAGCAGCTGGAGATAAGCTGGACACAAAGAGGATTTGTGTCTCAGGAGAGCTGGTCCCTAGATACGGAAAGTGGAGGAATTTTCTCATTAGGAGGAAGTCAGTGGTGGGGACTCCGGGCTTTCATCCTGTGCCCCCAGTACAAACAGTAGCAGGGAGGGGCGTCCTGGAGGGGGGATGTGCTTGTGGATGCTTTCACTGGACAACTTAAGGCTTCCAGAATGGATTTCCTTGGGAGAGATGAAAGGTATTAAATGCCATGTGCATTGATGAAGCTTTCGAAGGGGGAGGTAGGAGTCTCTCTACAAGAGCTATATAGACTTAATTGCTTGTTCCCACTCACAGAGGGGCCACAGTGGGAGGCTCCAGACTGCATGTCCCAAACCCGAGCAGTGAACTGGGCGACTGAAGCCCAGGGCACTCTGAGGGCCAAAATCTCACAGAAGCCATCACTGAGTTTGCCACCACAGCTAGGCTGGGCTGGGAAACTCCGCAGTGTGGGGAGGGGAGAAGAGAGAGGACAGGGAGTCCAAGCACAGAGTTCTAGAACACTACCAGGATTCACTGACCTCAAAGAGATTGTGAAATCTTGGAGCAGATTAAACCAGCCCAGCAGGAATTTTCTGAGATGAGGGTAGCATCTGAGTACGTTCCCGGGTCAGCTAATTTCATTAAGTCTGAATACCAGCTGGGGTCCCCGCCAGCATGGGCATAGACGTAAGGGATGAAGTGGGTTTCCTGGTGGCCTGTGAGTGTGTTTCCTTCAGCAACTACTACTGGCAGATTTAGTCCAGAGGAAACGAGCAGTCTCGGCTGAAATTGATTGCCTCACCCGAGCCCTGCTTTGGTGATTCCACTGCACTTTCATGCCCTGATCGCATACCCTGTTCGCATAGCGCCTGGGAGGGCAGGTATGCTGGCGTCCCCATCCATTCAGAATGGAGAAAGAGGACCACATGCCACTTTTCCACCAATGTCAACACTGCCCTAGATAGCCCTTAGTGCATGGCAGGTAGTGGCTTGGGTATATTGCCTCAATAAATGCATCTTTGTTCCCCAGATTCTAGAACCGTGGTTCAGCATAGAGGACAGCATTAAAAAACACGACATATGCACTTCCATTTCTACACTTAAAATTTCCTCAAAAACTTTTTTTTGCACTAGAACTGTGTATACTTGATCTTAGACGAAAATAACGACTTTGCATAATAGTGGGAGAGAAAGGCATGTTAAAAGCACATTTCACACCTGAATGACTGCAGAAACAGCTCTGAAGCCATTCAGTGGGAGAGGCTGTCTGAAAAGTCACCGCAGCATACTCATCAAGAAAAAAGTTGCTATTTTAAGTATTTTCAATGCTTTTCCCATGCGTGGAACGTGGTGGATTGGTTTTTGTGTTTTTTCTGCTTTCCCTGGACAATCACGACACACCCCACTCCAGAGACAGCAAGCAACCTTTGAGAGCCCAGCTGTTCTCTTCTTGCCCCTCCTCTGAGAAACAAGGTGTGGGAGTGGAACAAGATGTAGAAAACATGAGGGACCTAGCCACACTGAGACGCCTCTGACAGGGAGCCAGGGGGCCCTTGCAGGCGGAACTGTGGAATCCAACTCCAGACACAGTCACTGCTGCACATGAGGGCTGCACAGAAACGTCCCATGTTTCCCTTTGGAAACGTGCGTGGCCTCTGTGAACCAAGCCCCTCCTTCCCTTCCTGTTTCTTCTCCACTTCCTTCCTTTTAAGGAGGATAAAGTCCTGGCCAATTCTCAGCTGTGTGGGTCCTCTGAGTCCTTGGATCTGACACTGGCTTAGGGGCAGCAATGGGGCAAAGAGACTCCAGGCCAACTCTTCTCTGAGCCACCTTCTCGCATCAAGAATGTCCCTGTCCAGGGCGGCCCTTGGGGGCAATTTCCCAGGAAGTACCTAAGTTCAAATCGCTGACATTTATTGATGACTCTCTTTGAGAAGCGGAGAGCTCTGGTCCCTCTCTGGAAGAAGGTGCTCACACGAATGCAAAGCACCACCTTTTTCTTGGTGAAAGAGGGCTGTGGACCCAGGTAAAGAATGAGTGGGCTAGAGGATGATCCGATGGCCATGTCCACTTCCTTCCAAGGAGGGTCCTTCCTGTGCACATCATGATGGCGCCCCTGAAACAGCAATGGGTCAAGTTGGCAGAGGTTCTCTCTCACAGTGGCCAGTCAGGGAAGCCGAGGATGGCACATCCTCAGAAGTCATTTCCCCACGAAGGATTCAGGCTGGAGGTGTCGGTAGTGCTCATCTTCCTCACATTTCTACCTCCCTCATTTCTCACTTTTCCAGGCTTACAAAGGAAAATGCCAAGGTCCACCACCCAGCAAGTCAGCCTTGAGGAAACGAATCACTCCATCAGTCGGGAGAAAAAACAGACAGACAGAGCCAGCAAACGAAACCAAGTCATTTTATTGTGCAATTTCCTTCTACCAGAAAATTCTAAAAATATAAATATTAACTCTCTAAAAAATACTCAGAATAGATCTGTAATCTTCCTCCTCCAAACTGGAGCCAATCTTCTTTAAAAGCTGTGGATTGCAGACATGTGTGTCTTCCATATCAGCCACATACACAGCATTCAGATACACCTCCTTCAATGCAGGGGGATACACCAGCCTCCTGCCAGGTTCTGGAAGCTCACCTTATAATCTACCAGGATAAAGCTGTGTGCTGAGGTGGGGTTATGATGGGGCTGAGGAGTAACAAGGAGATAAAAGACCCTGTGGTCCCAACTTCCTTATGTGAACATAGAAGACAGGTCCTTTACTCCTCCTCATTACTCTGCCCTCTCATGGACTGGGCTAACTGAAGGCCAAGCTCCCAGAGAAGCTGGACTCACTGTGTGGGATTAGTGGCTGCGTGGCCGCCAGGCTTCAGTCACAGGAAGGCCAGACTGTTGAGATAGATGCGGAAACCAGGTGAGGCTTTGGATGGACGACCTGGTCTGAGCCAAGCCCTCTGCAGAATGAGTGGTAGCTGCTCATCCTGCTGAGCTTTGGGGAGCCCCTAGCCCCTAGCACCAGGTAGTATCTGCAGCATCGAAGACCAGAAACCCAGTCTCAGAGAGCCTCCCAAGGTAGCAGCAACACTTCTGCAGCAGGCGGATGGGTGGGCTGTAGGCAGTTAGATTGCAGCAGGGTCCCGTGGTGCTGTATTCAGTATCAGACATAAGTCTGAAGAACACTGAGGTCACCCTGGCAATGGTCCTGGACATCCTGGTGGGATCCTTTTGTTCATCCTGGGTCTAAGAGTCTGGACTTCAGCAGCAGCTGGGCTTTACAGTGGAGACGGGGTACTTAAGAAAGGCTGCACCTGCAATCCCTGAACCCATGGCTGCCATATCACTGGGCCAGAGCCACCCTCGGCTCTAGAAGAGGAGAAGCCCCAGAGAGCAGGGGCTTGCTAAGTTTCCCATCAAAACACAAACCACGCTCCTGGTATGGGAAGCTCAGATGAAGTGGCTTGCTTCCAGGATGTGTTTAGGGACTCCATCCCCATCCTCAGCTGTGGTGTTTTGTGTTATACCCCAAACCATTCTGGGAAAATCACAGGACCCCGAACGCTAGTCCTGAGACCTTCTCTGACTTCAGGGTCAGATATTGCATCCTTGGAGAAAGAATGTATACATAAGCCCTGCTTACTCCACCAGGGCCTGCAGGTGCCCCGCTGCAGGGACCCTCACGAGGGACCAGAGACAGCTTGTGGTGAGCATGTGGTGAAATCTAGCTTTCTGGGAGAAGGAAGGCAATGGAAGGCAAGCGGTGGGAGGGCTGTGGCAAGGCCACACAGATGCAGAAGCAAGAATGCAGGAAGACACCCACATCCTAGCGATCCTGCTGAGGCTCCTAGTTCTATAGGAGTTAGCGTGGGCATTTTATATGGCAGTGGTAGTGGGAAGGGGAGTGGAAGCTTGGAGGTGAGAAGAGCTTGGAAGCAAGCCCTGGGTGTCCCAGAGCTTATGGGTGGGAAACCAAACAATGAATGGAACAGGGGAGGCCACAGGAATCCCAGGAAGAGGATGCCATACCGCCTGCCCTGGCTGGATGTGCCATTCCCAGCCTTCTCCCAGGGAACCAGCCACCTTGTTCAAGAAAAGGGACGCAAAGACCCCTGGGATTGGGATCACCCCCTTACAGGGTCTGCTGGCCACAGGAAGACAGCACAATAGGACCCCTGGTGGGAGACAGGAATACAAAAGTGGGTTAATCCAGGAGGGCAGGAACCAGTTAAGGTTGGATGAACCTAGTCAGTCCCTTACACAGATCCTGAAAGCAGGAAAAAGCCCACTAGCATCAGCATAAAAGAAAGGCAGGGAAGGGCAGGCAGGGAAGGGCAGGCTGGGGCTGCTCCTGTGAGGTCCAGGGCTGCAGGCGGCCCAGACAACTTCAGCACAAGCACAAAGCACTTCCACTTAATTGAAAGTGGTCCCCGCCCCACCCCCCGCCCCTGGTTCTTCTCACATGCCAATCTTGCATGTGCTTCACTCTGGCTCTCACAGCAGGCCCAGGCCCTGAAACGGCATCATTTGAGGTTGCAAGGTGGCCCCTGAAAAGCTGTTCTGATCCCCAGTGATCGCCCTTCTCTGTCCCGTGTCCACTCCCTTCTCCCTGCTTCTGCTCTGGGCTTTTAGCACCAGCCCTGAATACCAAAACCACCCCCAAGTTCCTGAGCCCTCCCAACAAAACAAAATCAGGGTGTGCTCAGCTGCATCTGCTGGGGCCTGGCTCTCCCTGTCTCACACACACAGCAAGGGAAGCCTGATCTTTCCTTCCGTGAAGAATGCCCACATTTTGTATTCAACATCTGACCAGATGGGGGGAAACCTTGGGAACCCTTGGTGGCAGGGTTCACGCCTTGGGTGAACTCTCAGTCTCAGGCCTGGTAAGCATCTCTTCTGGCCTCCATCCCAGGGGCAGAGCAAACACAGCGACCAGGGGCCTGTGCTGTCTTGGGACCAAGAGGAGCCATGGCTGGGCTGTGGTCTGGGTGTGTGGCTTTCTAGGTCAGGGCCCATCATCAAGCCAAACCCATCATTCCTCACTCAGCCTTGCTCCCACTGAGGCCAGAGGCCTTGGACCTGCCAAGGAGGAGAGAGAAGGGACCGGGTGTGGGAGGGAGAATAGCAGGGGAGGAGGTGCATGTGGGGGACAGGCAAAGAGAATTCCTGCAAGATTCATCGTCCTGGGCTGGTGGCCCTGAAATTAACTGAGAAGCCAGGACAAACTCAAGAGGGGAGGAGCTCCAATGTCCAATGGCCGCAGCCCATCCAGAGGAGGTTGCAGAAAACTAGGCTCAAGATGACATCGAGTCCTTTAGCCGTTCTGCAGACAGACTCTTTAACTAGCACTACTCAAGGACTTCCAGCCCTGCAAAATCCCATGGTGGAGGATTGGCTGTCTGCTGGTGCCTCATACAAGGAAGATGAAGGGCACAGCGGAGCTGGGGCTAGGGCCCATGTGCACAGTGGAGGAGAAAACAACAGGAAGACCAGGGTGGTGCTCGGCAGGAAAGAGCGGAGGCTCTATTCAAAGGACAGCAGGTCTGGGTGAGGGCCTTCATTGTCGAGGCTGGAGGTCCGCGCCTGAGGAGGGGGGCTGCCCTCCTCCCAGGACTCAGCCAGGCTGATGGGGCTCAAGCTGAGTTTGAGGCCATTCCTCTCGATGAGGCTGGGGGAGGAGGCCCTTCTGCACTCAGGCATCTTTAGCTTGGATTCATCCTGGCTATCCTTGTGGATGAGATCAGGTACCGACAGGGAAACCTCTCCATTGGGCAGAACTTCGCCTCTCTCTTCTCTTTCCATGGCGGCCTCTGACTGTGGAGCGTCTGCTGGGACGTCAGGCAGGGCAGTGGGAGCGGAGTCCTGGGCCTGCCCAGGTGATGGCTCTGTCCCGTACTCCAGACTGCTGAGGACAGGCTGTGATGAAATCAGCATGTCCTGGGTGGTCTTCAGGGCCCGAGGGGTTCGTTTTCTGGTTATGGGAGGTGGAGGATCCAGTCGAGGAAATGCTTCTTGCAGGACTGACCTGTAAGGTTAAGGACAATAAACACACACAGCTTAAGGACCACAAGCCACCAACCCACCTTCCTTCCTCTTCTCCAACTGCAACTGCACTTTCAACCCACCCCCGCTGATGAGGGCCCTACTCCTGGGGTCTAGTTCTTGGTTTGGCATGCAGGTTTTAGCAACTTCAGTACAACAGCAGCTTTTGGCCTGGTCCCTGCTCACTCAGTGTTCAGAGCAACATAAAATACTGGCCTCTGGAAGACAGGATAAAGACCACTGGTGAACTTTGTCAAATCAGAAGCCACACAATAAGGCCTGCGGAGGGCATTCCCGCCTCAGATGCACAGGTGTTTAAAACAAGGCCTGGAAAGGGTCTGTTGGTAGAAGGGGGAAGACCAGGAGGGCTGCTACAGGGGCCTTCTCCCGCCCTGCCCCTGTGGGCTCTGACAGGCTCAGGCTTCTCCACAAGCAGTAGTCTAGGGCAGCGGTTCTCAGCTATGGCCGGGCATCGGAATCTACTTGGAGAACTTCTGGGCAATACTTGGGTTCAAATCCAGCTCTGCCAAGTACTAACTTTGGGACCTCAGGCTATTTACTTTACCTGTCTGAAAATGAGTTATCTGCAGGATGGAAATATCATCTACCTCCCAGGGCTGCTGGGAGGGCTAGAAAAAATGATGCAACCAAAGCATGTAGTGCAGAGCCGAGGACATAGTGAGTACTCAGCAACCTTCCACAGTACAGAGTTGAGGACATGGTGGGTACTCAACAACCTTCAGCTGCACAGGGCTGAGGACATGGTGGGCAC